AAGAAGATAAAAATTTCATCTTTAAGGCACAGGAATTTTAGAAGCCATGTGGATTTCTAATTAGTATAAGAATAAAAATTGTATATAATAAATTATCATAGCCAAAACCATAGAGTGACTGAAAAGCAAGTTTAAATAAGAGTTCACAATTTCAGATAAAAGGAAAATAAGCTAAGAAAACTGTCTTTCTATATTTGTTAGTATTCATTAGCATTTCACAGAGCAAGAAGGCAATTTTACTGTATCAGTTCCCCTTCCTTCTTAAAAAATGCCAAAAGATGTAACAAATAAATACTGATTTCTAGTAAAATCCATAGTTTCCACGAATTGTTATATCATACCTAAATCCTCCCAGCTATAGTTTGTTTTAATACTTATTATTGTTGCTACTTGTAACAGTGAAGAATTTCTGAGTCAGTAATTTCTAAATTTCTGAGACACCCATGACATTAACCCCTTATTACTTTTCCTCTCCTTTTACAATACTCCAGCCCAAACTTACAGGCCCAGAATAGTTCAGAAAGTATAAGACAATGCAAAACTACAAAAACAGTAGCACTCACTGGCAGAAACTCCTTGTCCTTTGGTCTCAGGTAACTTGGCACATGATAATTCATCAAATCAAACCAAAATATTAGTTCTAAGAATGGCATTAATTCTAGCAAATGAGAAGTTTCTGTCTTATTTTACTTATAGATAGATTAACTTTGTTCAATCTCCATGTTCAAAAAGTTTTGAAGATGGTGAAGGGGAAATAAATTCAACTATGAAAAACTATCAACTTGGGCATTTCAGAAATACAAAAATTTAAACTTCAGTTTTGATGTCTTTCACCTCGTCTATGTATCAGAGTGAACAAATGCTTAAGAAAGCAGGAAAATATCACTATGCAGATAGATTCTTCAGGGAATCTCTTTTTATCTTTTTTTTCCTATGTAAATCCTGCTTTGTTTCTCAAAATTCGAATCAAATGATATCTCCCACAAAAAAGTTCCCATGTGAACCTTGAAAGAAGTGACCAGTAATTCCCTTTCCATCAAAAATATGTCCCTTATATTTCTAACACAGTATTTATTTTATCCTACTGTATAACATGTTTATAAGTCTATAGGACAGCACTGTTTGGTAGCAGATTTGATTCCTCATTTCTCAGTCAGTGCCCTACATGTGGTAAGCCCGCCTTATTTGTGGATTTATTAAATAATTTTTGACCAAACATGGTCAAAAAATTAATACTGTTCAAAATCAAAAGAAATTTCAAGAACAAAAATTCTAAGTTCCTACACACACATTACACAGCTCACCTGATTCAGAGAAACTCTCAGTCAATTCCACATTATAGTCAATTATGTTCAAATCATTATGTGATCTCCTGAGTATTTCCCTGCTCTTGATTGTGAAAATATGCATCCAAAAACCCAAATGGTGCACAAAATACTAAAATATGTGCACACGTATATAAATGGAAAAATGATACTTGTTGAAACTATTTCTAGCGGGGTAAAGGAGAATGATGGTGGGGTGCATTCAAGTATGATTTATTTTAGGAACCTTTGTAAATGCCACAACGTACACCCAGCACAACAATAAAAATTTTTTTTAAATAATTGATACCCAAAACACTGAAAAGAAAAAGAGTGATGGTAATCCTCTGCAGCCAAAAAAGGGCATGTGATATGCTTAATTTAAGGGATAAAGAAAAAATTTCACATTTATTCAATGGTAGCATGTCATTAGCAGAAGTTGGAAAGTATTAACAGGAAATACGAATCAAGCATCTTCAGTACAGTACTGAACTCCATGCAATTTTAAGTACATGAAACTGTCATTGGGGAGAAGGCTAAAAGCACCAAATTTAACAATGTTTTTTAATTGTCTTGTATCTTCAGAACATTTTAATTCCTTATACATCTAATAAGCAGTTTTTGAAAAGAACTTACTGGTGTCTTGATAGGAGTCTGTTATAAAAGTATAGGTTAATTTGAGGATGAATGGATATCTTAATATTGAGTCTTCTAATCCATGAATATGGATTAACTACCTATTTATTGTTTTCTTTAACTTTCTGTAGTTTTTACCAATTAGGTCTTATACATCTTTCTTAGATTTCAATGGTGGTTTCCTTGGAACCATATACTCATGGATATCAAGGGTCTACTCTGCCTCTTAGACACTGAAGAAAAGAGATTAATATACCAACTAGATGTTATAAAAGTTTGTGTCTTCACAAAGCTTATTCTTTCATTTATGATAACATGATTTTTTTAAGTGACCCATCTTTCTTTTTTCAGGTCAAATCAGCCCATTTGACATTGGGAGCCCCATTTCTCCCAATGTAAAATCCATTGCAAAGTTTGAATCTTGAGTTCTCACTCTCCTTGACCTACACTGTCTAATCTTGTGCTAAATCCTGCACAATATGTTTTGCATTTGTTGCCTGTTTTCCATTTCCTCTACACATGTCTTTCTTCAGTCCCTCTTTTCCTTCTACCAAGACTACAAGAACAGTCTTGGTTAAAAAAAAAAAAAAGTTGCACATTAATAGAAAAAAATATCAATTGGGCTATGGGAATTACTAGGGGCATAGAAGTTCTCACATTAAATGTAGCACATAACTTATTTTCAAGACACAAAAATTCAAATAGATTAGAACAAAGATTTGAACAAAAATTCAAATAGATTAGAACAAAGACCATAAACATTAGATTCAAAAAGTTCCAAAGGATCAGTTTAATAGAGAGTACATTCTGTAACTACAAGGGTATTCTGTTAATATGCAGCAAGATCTTGTCTCAAAACCAAACAAAACATAATGAACTACTAGAACTAATAAATAAGTTTAGAAAGGTCACAAAATAAAATGTCAATATAAAAAATGGATTATATTTCTAGAAGCTAGAATGTGGGCTTTAAAACTATTAAATGCCACTTATGATAGTATCATAAACCACAAAAAAGTTAGATATAAATCTAAAAAAGATGTGCAAAACCTATTTGGTAAAAACTACAGAAAGTTAAAAAAAAACAATAGGTAGTTAATCCATATTCATGGATTAGAAGACTCAATATTAAGATATCCATTCATTCTCAAATTAACCTATACACTTATAACAGACTCCTATCAAAACACCAGTAAGTTCTTTTCAAAAACTGCTTATTAGATGTATAAGGAATTAAAATGTTCTGAAGATACAAGGCAATCAAAAACATCATTAAATTTAGTTCTTTTAGTCTTCTCCCCAATGACAGTTTCATATACTTAAAATATACATTGCATTAATCCTTATATAAAGAAATGATTTACAAATTGACAGCATTAATAATATTTACTGAAAATAAAAGTTATAATCTAGTGCTAAGTAGGGAGTATTCCACTATGTGTCAAGGACCATAGCTTTTATATATAAGCTGCATAATAGGGTATTATTATACTGTCATGCAAAATAGAAGTATGTATTTAAATGACATTTACCATGGCCACAGTCTGCATCATTCAATTGCCCTAGAGCAACAGTTCTCCAGATGGGACCTAAAGACTGTCCCAGAACCTTTAATGCTAATAATAAGATATAATTTACTTCGTAACACTCAATTTCTCATTGTATGTAAAAATGTAAAGTACAGATTTTCCAGCAAGACATGATATGTTAAGATAAGAACAGGTAAAATGTAGGGACAAAAATGAGAATGCACTTCCTTTCTTTCATGCCAGCAATTAAAAATATGCCAAAAAGCTAAACAAAGCCATTCTTCCAATGCTTTGTCTTGGTAAACGTTAATATTCATTAATTTTATGCCAATATATAATGGGTTTACAATTGTTATGTCAAATAAATAAACATTTATTAAATTCACAGTTTCAATACTTAGGGGGAGTGATTGGAGTTTGAACTCAGGTCTTCATACTTACTAGGCAGGCACTCTACCACTTGAGCCATCACAATCCCTTTTTGCTCTGGTTAATTTCAAGATAAATCTTGCCTTTTGACCAGCAAGTTGGATCACAATTCTCCAATTTTACAGGTGCAGCACCACCCAGCAAGCTCTTTCCCTTGAAATGGAATCTCACAAATTTATTTGAATTATAATTTTCCTGATCTCAGCCTCTCAAGTAGCTAGCAATTCAGGCTTCTACCACCTTGCCAAGCTTTTGGTTTCAATTTTTAATATGATAAGCAGAGATACATAAAACAAATGTTAATAAAAGCTCTTAGGAGCCTCACAATTTTCAAGAATGTAAAGTGGTCCTAAAATCAAACAAACAAAAAAAGAAGTGAAAATTATTACAGTACAGTAAGAAACATTTTAAAGTAGTACTGGAGGGAGAATAGCCTAAAAATTAAAAGGAAAAATTAAATTCAAAAAGGATTATCATATGTTTAGATTTTCTTAGTGGGACACCATATTAAGCCCCTTGTAAAGGGTTCTTAATAAAGTTCACTAATAAAACAATGGCTTAAGTCCAAAAAACAACCTATGTACAGATTTTTATACATAAACTGTTTTTACTTCTTTCCATTATGATGCATTTCTACTAACAACATAATGGAAAAGTCACTAATCCAATTTCTAACATTAGATATTGCCTGCATATTAAGCCCTGCTATCTTTCTCCCAAACACTCTTTCTGTTACTCTGTTGTTTTCACCAGTGTTCTTACAACCTTCTAATATGTTATATGTCTACCTAATTATTGCATTTATTTTCTGTCACTCACTCAATATAACGTAAGTTAAATAAGGGTAGGCTTTTTTCTGATTTATTCACTGATGTTTTCTCAGCACCTAGAGGAGTCTTTGATACAAAATAGGCACACAATAAATACTTGTTAAACGAATTCAGGGATATTTTACTGAAGTAAATTAAAAGAAAGCTTTGCTACTTACCAGGAAGAAGAATGTCTTCCCAAAATAATATCTACAAATATCCACTAGATATAGATGGAATCCACACAAGAGGGACACTGTAGCCAAAGGAAAATGCTAAGGACTAGTGTCCTCTTATGTCTCAGAAAAGAAGAAAGATGAGAAGACAAGAGACAAGGGAAGATTTGGAAACAGTCCAAATTGGAGGTAGCACCAATAGGCTTTTCCGATCCTTGAATTACATGAATATGCACAAAGAAAAATTAAAATGAGAATAGTTAACATACCTCTCTTCTCCTGATGAATCTCCTCAAGAAGCTGCTCCTGCCTTTCTATCTGTTCAAAGAGACTCTGGAGCTCAGACTCCTTGTTGTCAGTCAGATCCCTGAGCTGTTGCCTGCAGAGCATCAACTGGTGTCGCAGATTCTTCTCTCTGTTTTCTCTCTCTTTCAGTTCTTCACACAGCCACTGAAGTTTAGTCTAAAAAAATGACATTTATATCTAATTAAAAAACAATCAGAAATCCAGAAGGTAACACTTCAAAAGATGAAGGAAAAAACTCAGTAAAATTATGAAAATCTGGACATAGATAATAACGAACAAATTTAGGCAAAATTTTTAAATATCCATGCTTTAATTTGCATAAATATTTATGACAGTTCAAAGTTGGTTCCAAAAGTAAGCCATGATATTCTTGAAATTTTATAAAATACTTTGTGCACACCATCATCTTTAGAAATGCACCACCACAGCAGAGTCTGGTTGTATGACCTATAAATATGCTAAAATCCATTGACTAATACATTGAAATGGATGAACATGTATGGTATTTAAAATATATCTCAATTGAGTTGTTATATAAGCAACTAAAAGAAGGCTAGAAAGTTAAAGGGGGAAAAATGTTAAAAGGGCTAAGAACCAAGGCAAAATCTGATGTCCTCTGTCACTGGATAAATATGGAATTCCCAATTTCAATTGGACTATGGAATCCAATTATGATTAAAGAAGTTAAATAAACCCTGTTTCAATTCCCAATATTCCCTTTGAGATATTCATGCAAATAGAAAGAGTTTAACTTTTCATAGGAAACTGGGTACAGTGGTAAATGTCTATAATCCCAGCTATTCTAGAGGTGGAAACAGAAGGATCATGGTTTGGAGGTAAACTGGAGCAAACTTAGTGTAAAGCTCTATCTGAAAAACAAGCTAAAAGCAAAAGGACTGGGTATATGGTTCAAGAGGAAGAGTGCTTGCTTCGCAAGCATGAAGCCCTGAGTTCAATCCCAATAGCAGTCTACGAAAGATAAATTTCCACAGGACAGGAAACATGGTTAACTCCTTGCCAGTTAAAAGGAACACTTTCTGCCAGAATGTCCAACTGAAGCACAAAGGAAGATTGAATACAGGATTGGGCAAATCCTCATTTGACATATAAGGAAGGAAGCAAAAGGGACTGGCCTTTAGAAAACATCATCTACATAAAGAGTACAGCACAAATTGGAGGCTGGAGATTAGGATGTTGTAATAATAATCCAACTGGATGAAAAGACTAAAGTATGGACCAAAGTGTATACATCTGAAATGCTAGACTACTTCACAAGTTGTAGGTAAGGTAGAAGGAAGAATCAATGTTAATGAAAAAGTTTCCACCTTATAAAACTGAGAAACAGAAAACCATTGGGGCAAAAAAACAGCACGAAGGTTTAGAGTAAAAAAGTTAACATCAGATTGGAAAATGTTGAAGTTCTCAAGCCTATGAGATAGAGAAGGATAGATGACTAGTTGAATATATAAGTCTAAAGCTCAAGAGACCTGAATGAAAGGCAGAAACTAAGTAAAGATCAGCAATGGAAGCTGACAGAGTTGTGAGGACAGGACAGATCACAGAGAATGATCAGAGAGAGACAGTAAAGGTTTAGAAGAGATGAACAGAAACCTAAAAATAAAGCTGGGAAACAGGGAGGAAAAATCAAATCTAAGGTGACAGAACCCAAGGGGAGAAAATATTACCAGACAAATATTATAGAAGGTAATTTAACAATGCAGATTATTTCTATATTATCAGAATTTTTGACATAAGAATGTATTCCATGTATTAAACAATAAAAACTATCCCATACAACTTAATTAGCAATTTTAGATATAGAGCAATTTAAAAGTAAGTCAAGTATTACTGAAAAAGTCATAAATTTATTGATAGTAACTAGTTAAAATAAGAGAAGGCCTTCAATCTCACTGCCTGTTTCTATAACAAAACCAAAACATAAGCCATACCTTTTGTTTACCTCATCAAGTGTTGCCATTTCCTCAAGAAAAGCAAATGCTCAGAACAGCCCTGGTGAGTATCATTATAATTGGTATGATACAGGGGAAAACATAAAGGGTAAGTATACTTTCTGGAAAAGACATGGACATTCAAGTCTCTTGCCTATTTATTTAGCAACATGACATATGCAAATTTATCCTTGTAATGAATTTAGATTCTCAAGACTGTCTCCAAGAATGCTCTCATATTCTTCAGTTAAAAGCTCCTACAAAATGAGCATATGTGGACGCACTACAGCTAGTACAGCATTCAGCACATAGGAAGGATATGGCATGTGAAACCAAATGAAACGTGTGATGCTGTTAAGTTCTTGAAAACAGATATATCACCTCACATTTAAGAAATAAAAAGTGATAGCTTGAAAATAAAAAGTCCCATTACTTTTTTTAGAATTAGTATATTAACAAAGCTTAATGAACCTTCCAAAGTAACACATTTAGCATCTAAACAATATCAATTTGAACTACAAAATATAACCACAAGGAAAAGGGCCAGAGGACTGTGCATATGCTAGCCCTGGAAACTCTCTGCCCTTTAGGTACAGTCCCAAATAGTAGCTTTCAGATAGCATTTTGAAGCTACAGTCTTTAATTATCAAGTAGCTTCAAGAATATAGATATCAACCATGGTATTCAGAAATTGTGGTTGGTGGGTAAAAGGCAAATTTATAACCTTTATATCCACATTTCAAAACTGAGCTGGAAAATGAAGTACATTTTCAAAATTAGTTAATAATTGCAAATGGAAATATGCTATAGATTAATTCTCCAAGGACTGGTCTATGATCAAGTATTACTTAGTTTTATCAAAAATTATTAAATATTAAAATGATTTGTTAGTATGATGGTGGCAACAATCATCTTTTCAGAGAGAACAGAATAAATTATTTTTGGTGCATAAAAGAAATACATAACCATAGAAAAATGTTTAATAGAAATAAACCCAAAGGAATGAGCTTTTAAAAAAAATAACATATCAAATATGGACTATTCAAAGGTACGAAGTTCAGTTGGCTACAGACTAAGAAAAGAAAAGCAGAAGTTATTTTTTCAACATCCTATCAACAGGAAGACCCTTCTGCCCCAATCTGGGAACATGTCACTATTAGATAAAAATGCAGGATTTATTGTGATTGGTTTGCATCAGATATGGTAAAAGTAAATAGTTACAAGTGCCAGGTAGGAAATATTTATAAAAGAATAAGGGAGAAAATATTGTTTTTCTTGAAATATACCACTCATTCAAACTACTGTTTCATTGTTTTATTGTTTTGAATTATGCATAGATGCAAGAAATATATCCATTTCTCTTAAATCTACTCTTAAAAAAAAAGTAACAGTACAAGCATAAAAATACAATGCAAGTAACACATTCCCTCCATAATGGAAATCAATAAAGAATGGTGAGTCTACATCAAACTGGAGTGAGGATCTCCATCTAATATCCGTTCCAACTGTTTGCTATCACATAAGAACTAAACTCTAGTTTTATCATCTGATATCTCAAAAGGAAAACAAACTCTATATCATAATGCCCAGTATTTTTAAATGTTCACTTACTACCAATTCAATTTTTTAAAACCAGTGTGGTAAAAATGAAATGGATCCCTGGGGTCACTGGTCTCAATTTTCCAGTTTAACTTGCTGTTACCCAGTGGATTAACTGCAAATATATAAAATAATTTCCAACTTCCCTTTTTCCAATGCTTTCCTGACTTTTGTCCCCTTCTCTGACCTTTGTTCTTTTCCTATGGACACCACTATTGCTAAGAGGTGGTAATGAGGAAACAAAAATATTTGTTCCATCCTAATGATAATTCACTGGGTTCTGGTAAAAAAAAAAAGCACCACTTGGATAAGCATCAGTTTGAATAAGAATTGTAGATTGAATTATATCCAAATACCCAAGTGTAACTGTATCTAGAGACAGGACTTTTCAGAAGGTGATGGAACACAAATAAGAACATAAAAGCGGGTCTCAACTCTGACAGGTCTGGTGTCCTTACAAAAAGAGAAGACCCTAGAACTCTTTCTCTTGCAGCACACAAAGAAAGTCCCAAGAGAAAACACAGACAAAGGGTAGCCCTCTACAAGCCAAGAATAGAGATCTTACCAGAAAGATCTTGATCTTACACTTTCAGCTTCCAGAACTATGAGAAAATAAATGTTTGTTGTTTAAACCACCCAGTGAGTGGTATTTTGGTATGTCAACTCAAACAGACTAATGTAATATATAATTAGCCTTATGGTTTTAAATCATTCCTACGAAGTTTTTATTCTATTCTCAAGCAAAATTTAAAATAAGTTATAGTTAGATGCTTTATTTGAAATAAATATATAGAGAAAGAATATATTACTAACCTAAAACAAAATATCAATTTATGGAAATTCAATCAACCAATAATCAATTATGAGAACTGCTGTTTATTAGATCTTCACCCAACATCTTCACTAAATACCTTGGTAAAGCAGTATAGAACATAGTACAGAAATAACTTTAACAATTCCAAATAATAATTAGCTGTCAAGGCTATTAATCACAGAGTACAAACCTTTCTATTAACCACTCACAGGAGCATTTTACATATTACATAAGAGGCTCATTTATTTAACAACATCAACAAGTACTGTTAACTAAACCAAAACAGAGAGCTTAAAAATGAAGCCATGTTTACCTCTACAGTTGCCAGTTTGCAATTGGGTGGGAATATTCAAGAGTATCTAGTAAAACTATTACAATGACCTTTGTAATCTATGAGACTCCTCTACTGAGACTTAGTCTAATAATATAGTAAAGTCAGTAAGGAATGACTCACAGCTGAAAACCAAGGAAAACAGAAAATTTGAATAAAAAGATTACAACTCATGGAGTTAACAATAATATTAGGACCCATAATTTTGCTACTTTAACTACTATTCTTTCTTCATCAAAACTCTAAAAATAATTTTGAAAGAGAATGCTTACAAAAGAATCAGAGAAAAAGAGAATGGCAATTTTTTTAACTTGTGCTAGGCCACCAAGACAAGAACTAAAACTGAAGTGTGAAATTCAAAACCACAGCAACTTAAAAAGAGAATAGTAAATTTAAGGTACTATTTCTCCATATTTTATTTACAAATGAATATAAAAATACTCCATAATAACATTACATATTTTAAAATATAAAATACTTTTTTCCAAACTAGAGGCATTTCATATACACAATTTAAAGTAGATTTCCAACAAATGAATCAAAATACTTAGTATAGGATTTTCATTTTAGTATTAGAAAGATAATATACTAGATTACTCATATCTTTACCAACAATAAATATACTGGGTCTGATACTTCTCAAGCAATGACTGTTTTAAAATATATATGTCACTAAAAAGACAACAGTCATAAAGGTAAAGTTTATATTCAAACTGTAGACTACACAACCAATGGAGAGAAACAATGCACAGAGCTCAGAAACTTAAGTTCTAAACCCTTCTCACCTTTTTGTTCCTAGGTAAAACTCAAAACTACCCAAGCCTCAGTTTTCCTATATACAAAATGAGGAGGTAAACTACATAATCACTAAAGCTGTTTCAGTTATACAAGAGCAAAAAGCTTTTCTATGCTAGAACACATCATACTACAAGAAGTGTGACTCTTGGGAATTGTTAACAAACATGAGAACATAGGAAAATCTATCAAATAATTTGGAAGGGTATTTCTTACACACACAATCTTAAAATTTACAGCTCTTATCAAATAAAAGAAATACTTGAGAATTAATGTATTTATTGAAATTTCATGTGTTTTCTATTGATTCTTCTGTAAGATTTATGCTGAGGAAGTACCTTAGTGGAAAAAAACCAATGCAATTAATCTTTTAAAAAATATTTATTGAGAATTAAAACAGTCTACGGCCATACCACCCTGAACATGCCCGATCTCGTCTGATCTTGGAAGCTAAGCGGGGTCGGGCCTGGTTAGTACTTGGATGGAAGAACTAAAATACTGGGTAAGTACCAAAGATGTAATGAGGGACAGAAAAGACAGAGGACGTCCCTCATCAAGCCTACAGATTAAATAAAGAGAAGAGTAAATGGAATTTCAATATAAAGGGACGAAGGCCAAGAAGGAACTATAGCTTTCCTCTAGTCAAAGAAGTATGTTAACCTTATCTTTTTTATACCATAAAGGACTAATTAATACAGGAGTCCTAGAATTAAAATGTATAAGCAACAGAGCATTCAGGATTCTGCCTTGGGCAAAAGAGCAGGTAGCATCAGTTTTCCTTTATTCACTGTCATAAAATGGTTAAGATCTGGGATCAACAATGATCTCACTAGTATGTGATTCAATCATGTGAGTGCCTGTCTACTCTAGATTTGATAAATATCCCTTATTGTCTTACTATGAACATTTTGGTACTTCCCATTTCTTTCCACAATCTGAACCTAAACTCTGAACTGTGACTGTACCCTTGCTTCTCTTTGGACTTTTTTGTCCAAACAGAACTTTCTGGACATCAGCTCCTGTTCTGGAATCTCTTTTAATACTTCTGTTAGCTTGCCTACCTAGGATTTCACATGCCCATTTATTCAGATACCAACCCTTTCCTAGAGTCCTCTAGTTTGGCATGAAAATCTGGACAGCTCCTTCTCCATCATCCTCCAATATGACATCAATTACCACTTGCATGTTACCACCAAAATATTATTCCTGTCTTTCCTTGTCTTTGTATCTCTGAAAAGTTTCCTTAATCAGACTGTTAATATCCCTCACCCAGAACATGGGGAAAAGTTCTTAGCTGGTCTACTGCCTGTTATCTTACCACCGCTCATCTACCTTTCATATCACTATCAGAATGATAATTCTAAAATACAAATATCATCATGTCACTCTCTTGTTCAACTCATTTGTGATACTTCACTAAAATGCAAACCTGAATCCAACCTCCTGAAAATTATATACAATATTCTTCTAGTGAGCCTAATCCCTGCCTGTGCCTGGAGCCTCCTCCCCTGTGATTCTGTCTCACCATTTCATATTTTACTCCTGCCAAATCACTTCAGGTTTCTTTGCATTTATCATGTTGTCTCTCTTTCGTGACATTCCTAAAATTTGTTTTGCCACATGTATGTTCTTTCCCCTTTACCTGGCTAATGTCAAGATTCTCCATCACAGCATATGCATATTTAAGCATACACGCATCTCTTACACAAAATTTTGAAATTATCTGTATATGCATCTGTTTTCTAAGCAGACCAAGTTCTACAAGAAGCAGGACCATATCTTAGTAACTGTTATGACATAGCAAGTAACATAGCATCTAGGACATGGTTATTACTCTAAAAGTTTAGCCTCTACATGCTCTGTTAGAATTTATGACAAAATATATCTCTAACCTATGGAATTCCTTGTCTGACATTCCTTAAAAACTACTGCAACTGTCTTCCTTCCTATGATATCATATCCTGATCTTTCATTGGTTATTTTATCTATGAATCTGGTCTAACTCTCGTTCGACTTCATGTTTGTGTTATGCCACCACTGCCAACAGAGTGACAGTGATAAAATCCCTAACCAATCTTCTAGTTCTTCTAGAATTAAAACTAACAGGAGAAATTCATTTAGTAGATTTATGAAAACAATTACCAAATGGCCTCAGAGGTCAGCATGGCCTAGCTGAATAGCAATTCTACTTTCCATATAATTTTTGTCCTGTGATTTCAGATCTTATCTTCAATACTTATAGAGCTGCCCAGTCACAGTTCATGGGAATTACAGTATTGTAACCCATCAATAACCTAAGCCATCTTTCTTGTAAATAGATTCAATTTCTCCTTAGTCAGTTGGTCAGCAAGTTATTTTTTTTATCATGACCCTTTTACACTGTAGAAGGTACAGTTGTCTCATGCAGTATTAAAACTGGTCTGATCAGAAGTTCAATCCCATTAAATGATAAGGGAAAACTGCTCACTAGCTCCCAAATTAAAGAACTATGATTAAGAGTCATCTCTGGCTCTCATAATTTAACTGAACCACAGCAGTGAAAGCTTTCTGCTCAGAAATGATAAAGATTTTAACTTGAATGAAAATTCTAAGTACATCACTCTTGTTGACAGAACTGCAGAGTTGGAAAGAAGAAAAGGAAAAATGCTGTAGATTAATGCCCAATAGAAGTTTCTGCCCCCCCCCCCAACAATTCTGAGACCAAAACATATATTTTAAATTTCCTGTGCAGGTGGCAAAAACATAAATTTACATTTATTTCTATCAACAAATGGTTAGAAATGCACAGAATTTTATATAGTACGATAAAATCTAGTGTTTAATCACAATACTTTATTTTCTTACTAATTTTTTAAAGAAGATTGTCTAATACATAACTGTCTTCAAAGCTGATCACTGTCTTTGTACCATCTCCCACCTTACTTAACAATCTCAGTGTATTCTGTGATTACTCAAATATTCTCATTTTCTTGGCATTGTTCTACCCATAATTACCCAACTACAAGAATTCTACATTACTTTTGTAAGACCAAATTTAAATATTGATTTTTTTCAGTATCTTTCTATAACATGCTTACAGTACCATATCTGCTCTGCCTCCCAGCACAAACATCACAGTTAGTACCTCCAAACCAAAGAACCATGAAGCAGGGACGTTATATTTAGAACAAAAAGTATACCCCTCTCACCCAGAAAAGTGAAGGAATTGCCTCAGCCACATGGAGTTCGCAGGCTTTGAGGGTTTTTTTTGTTTTTTACTCTAAGAATCAAAACATATTAAGTATGTATGTGTGAAATGAAGATTATTTCCTGCTGCCTGTATACTTTCAGAGAAATTCCCAACCAATGTAAAAGGCAGAAAAATTTGACTCTGTGACAATCTGGTTCTTAATGTTTCAACAGTTTTATCTTCCTTTTTTCTCTCCTTCTATGTCTATATACTAAAATTAACTTCGAAATGTTAAAATAACATGGAAAAAATTTTTTAATGTGCTGAAGTGATATCTTCCCCTGCAATGAAGTACTACAGCTTTATATATTCAGTTATATGACAAAATATATGGGTAAACCAAATAGAATGCCTTGAAGACAATAAATATTATGAAACCTTAGGATTCAAAGATTAATTACCTTGCTTTCTGCTAGCCAGCGATGTGGGTCATAATGTATATCAGGGCCAGAGGAAAAAACCTACAAAAAAAAAGAGGAAAGAGTGTTAGAAATAAATTTTTTCTAACGCGAACTTACATAAATGAAATTCTTCACTACGGCATTCAAAAGTTCAGTCCCTAAACTTAAAGACTTAAAAAGAAAAAGGTTTGTACCATGTATTCAACTAATTCCAAATTCATCAAGTGCTTATTTATATGTCTATTTACTTATTGATAGCCAAACATAAACATGAAAAAAAATCAATCATCATTAGAATCTCTGGAAACCAATTCCACAGGTTTCACAGGACAAGAAGCCTTGACTAATGCCACTTTTCTTTGGTTGGTTTCCTTAATCTTGTTCCTTGTAATGTATTTCACAGAAGTTTATGTTATTACATGGAAACTTAATTCTGTCTCATTAATCCTTCTTCCATTTAGTACCATGAGGTTCATTTTGCTTTATCAATGATTGTGAAGATCAGATAAAAACTCAACATAACTGCAGACATTGCTTTATATTTCAAGAAAGCAACAAAATTCTATAATAAGCTGTTGTCTATATTAACTTACCTAATTTTTCTCATACCAACTCATTTATAAAATCTTACCATATTATTTTTACCTTATTATTAAAGTAAAACCATACTCAAAGGCCAAAAATGACTTTAGAATTGTACATACAAATTTTCTTATCATTCCAATTTCAATTGCAAACTGCAATATATGTTATTTTTGTAGAATCTTTCCAGATATTTTCTTTTGAAGGGATAGTTCTAAAGAGATATCTATTCCTATCCTCAAATACTCCCACACCTCCTGATGTGCATGCACATTACTTTGCTGACAGGAATATCATTAGTTAATTCATCCAGACAATGCTCAACATATAGTAAGTGTCCACCACATGCCATATCTGAAAGTGTTATATTCTTACATTTGACTTTTCTCTCACCCATTTTCTCTCTACTAAATCTTCACCAACTCTCTGCCCTTTCAGTGAAATTTTCTCTAATCACCCTAATTCTCAGTATTTTCTTCCTCTCTCAACTCTCTACTCTTCTGTGGAATATTTACTAATCTATAAAGATTCATCACCAATTTTACTTGTCTTCTACATTCACCAACTTCATTTCTCTAATCTTTAGAGTACTCAAGAGTGAAATAATATGATGTAAAGAATAAAATTGTTCACATTTTGTGATTAGCTTTACAAATTTATATATAATTTCATGTTTAATAGAATAACCCTGATCACTTACAAGTAGTGTAGCTTAGTTTCCCTAAGCCACAGATTATCCCCTGCAAATGCAAATATGAACTACCTCACATAAGGTCAAGGTATACAACAAAGACAGTAAGTGTTAGTACGGTGCCCCAACACAGAACACACTCAATATATCACCATTAATGAATATCAAAATATCACCATTTATAAATAAACATCAAGATCTATTGTCACAAGAGTAATGTAACAGACATTTGTCATTAAAGCTATATATATATGTATATATATATAAAACCAAACATATAAAATGTATTACCAAAAAGACACCACATAATAATAATAGTTAACATTAGTATCTACTAAACACAAGATATTTCACATTATAATATACACCCTATGTCACTTTACTTTTTATCTTCATAATGAGATAACTTATAATTGGACACATGAATTCTTAAGAGTGGATATTAAACAACTTGTTCAAGGTTAAGTGTTAGAAATTTGAAGAGATACAACTTGAGCTTACATCTGTCCTGATTTAAAACCTATCCTATTCATGCTCTACAACAGAAGGAATATTCAGAACAAGTGTTATAGGAAGAGACAGATTAGAATTAAAACATCATGCAGACCTAAATCTATTCAGTTGAGCTCTTAAATTATAAAAGATTGACATGTAAGTATGATGTATCTTCAGATACCTTTCTAAATGTTTTATAAGGGTGATAATTTAATTGTATGTCTGTCCTTAAGTTTTCGAAAATTACATGAATTTACTAAAATAGAAAAAGTAACAAATATGATGATCAGAAAAACAAGAAATCATATCAATATTCGCCAGAGCTTTTCTGAAGCATATTTGTTATAAATCTATTTCTGAATTCATTCCACAGTATAATCACTTCCTACATAAAATGGTTGGAAATTTCATCAGCAAATTTTTCAAAAAATCAAGAGGTGACAAAAGAGTAACTGGAATACATATATCTGGATAGATAGATAGATAGACAGATAGACAGATACACGCACATACACACAAACACACACACATATTGGGGGAAAATATTTATTGGGGGGTGTTACTGAAGTTTGAACGCAAATCATTCATACTTGCTAGGCAGTGCTCTACCACTTGAGTCATGATTCCAGCCATTTTTACTCTGGATATTTTGGAGATGGGATATTGCTTTTTGCCCAGGCTAGCCTGGATATTTTATGTTTCCCAAAATCACTGGGAAAACAGGCACTCACCACTATGCCCAGCTTTTTTCCCCTTGAGATGGGGAGACTCACAATTTTTTTTTTTTTTTTGGTCAGGTACTGGCCTGAGACTGTGATCCTCCTAATCTCAGCCTGTAATGTAGCTTGGGATGACAGGCACACACCATCATACCCAGCTATTCATGGAGATGGGCTCTCACAGGCTGGATTTGATCTGGAATCCTCCTGAACTCAGCCTCCCAAGTAGCTAGGATTACAGGCATGAACCACCAGTGCCCAGAAGGAATGATTCTCTTTCTGAAAACATTTTACATTGTTCTACCACTCTCCCACATAACTATGAACTACAAACAAAGAATCAATTTTATCTTTAGCAAATACCTTGTTGGTTTCCTTAAGGTAAGAACAAATGCTAAACTCATGGGTATCCATTTTTTTTTCAGGTACATAAAAACAAAATAACAGAAGGCATTAATGGAAAGAAACCCACAATAAAAAAAATATGTAAAGTCTTCTTATATTTACTTTTTACCTTGAGTTGGACTGAGCCTTCCTCTAGGGGAAGAGATATAAAGAACAAATACCACAATCATTCCATGCTTGAAAACCCATTAAAGAATAGGATGATTTGGGGAATATGTGGGAAGGACAATCTGTGCCACATAAAGAAAAAAATATATTTAAGCAATCATTCATCTACATATCATGTTTTTGCCTGCAATTCCAATAAGAAGTTTACAATTTCTTATGATTTCTATATTTCTATTTGTACATTCCCACATGATTAAAAACCATCCAGACATGAACATTTAAGTATAAAGTAATTGTTGCATTGTTAATACATCCTCCTGTCAGGTGAAATTATGATTTTCATGGTCACACATTCTTTGCACATATGTAAATCACTCAAGCCCCAATTTTTAAAAAGCTATAATTAGACAGGAAAAAGAACAAGCCAGCATTAGAACAGACTCCTTCCTATAACAGCAATGAGTCAGTTTTCCTCCACCCATATTAGTCTCACAATCTTTGCAAACTGACATGTGAGCATTTTTAAAAAGAAGGTATATGGAAACACGAATTATACGAATTATAAACTTTCTATCAACTCTAACAAATTCTACTGATTGAAATATTTCCAGTAAGTCTGAATCCTAAGAAACCTTTGACCATAAAAATAGAATTATAGTTTTATTTTCTTTTAATCACCACTTGTAAGAGAGAGAAAAAGCAGGGGGAAAAGGACGGGCTCTTAGAAGGGAAGATCATTTTAGAGGAAGACAGAAAAAATAAAAAGAAGAAACACATGAAAAGCAAAAGCACTTAGCATATTCTCATACGCTGAGTGCTGCCTGTCCACAATGTGCTGTGGGCACACCTAACCTAACTAGAGCAACACAGTGCTCTCTCTATGCAGTCCTACCATACCCCACACTTGAAAGAAATACTTACCTTCCAGGAATTCAAAACATCCATGATCACTTCTGTTTTGATTTATAATATTTTACAACTGTAAACTGAGCAGCAATATTCCACTTTAAACACAGAAGATGTAAACTGAATCCAATTTGTTTAATAAGGAAGGAAGACAGAAGAGGGGCGACTTAAGATTCCAGAGTTATAGCCCCAAAGTTTAAAGACCTAGTTTAGTATTTAACTAGATGGACAGCCAAATTACTTACCCCCTCCAGGAACAGTTTTCTCTTCTCTAAAGTGAATTCAATTAGAGTATCTGAGAGATCAGTAACTTTAGGAGTTAAGAGAGAAACTATGTAAACCACATTCACCATTGAACCTGTATTAGAGAATTCAATAGATGGCATGGGGTAATAAACTAACAACAAAACAGCCTAGGATAATGAAAATTCAGTATTCAAGTCTCTAGATCTTGAGGATATTTTCCTTGTTAGAACTGCTGCCTCTCTCATGAAGCATTTTCTTTTACTGAGTGAGACACAGATAATTCACTGTAATACACTTTCTCTCTCCATGACTGTGCCTCATTCTGTAAAAATTCAAGAAGTTTTGCTTCATAAAACTTTCTGAAATAAAAATGTGACCACAATGTGATCATATATTACCATCCATTATAATTATATATTAGAAACCAAGTGAAAATTTAAAGCACAATGAGAACTCATAATTACTTTCAATTTCTCCATTGAATCCTTAGAAAAAGTTTTACAAGCTGCATCAATTTCCTTTCCTATCATGCCAAGAATGGATTCCTGTTCAGTCTCCAGACAAAGAAGTTGATCCTTGAGCTGCAATCTGGCCTCTTCCATCCTCCTTAAGTGCTCTTCTTCATTGCTTATATGTTTTTCCTATGGCATTGATAAGAAAAAAGAAGAGAAGTGGATTATTATGTGGGGCTAAGAAATACTTTTCTACATAACCAAATCAGAGGACTGGATAGGAAAACAACTCTTTCAGTCACATCATTTTACTAAAATAAAACTACCTACTTATGAATGGAGGCAAAATTAAATAGAGTAAAAGGTGGTCACTTTGGGAAATTGTGAGAAAGCACTTGCCTAACAATACTATAACAATTCTATGACCAAAGGTAACAAGCTGGAAAAGAAAATCTTATACCATTGCCACTAATGGACCAGAGAGCAAAAAAACTAATGCCACAGACTGATCACGAGGTTGCCTAAGTATTAGTAAAATACTAGAAAGATAAACTGCCAAATATGATGCTGGTAGATTCTTCATTTGAAAAGAAAAAAACATGTACTATGTGTTGCCACCTTTACTTCATTAAAAGTTTTCTAAAAAATTCTAAATTTTCAAATGCTGTGATTCTGTATACATGGTTATGAGTCATAAAAATTGATAAAAGCAAAGTGCAGGGAGACACATTCCAGGAAAGCAAATATGCCTAATGAAAAGGTTTTTTACTATTATTATTTATTCATTTATTCACATGTGCACACATTGTTTGGATCATTTCTCCCTATGGCCTCCACTCCTACCCTCTCCCCCTCAGCTTCCAGGCAGAACTTGTTCTGCACTTTTTCCACTTCCATTGAAGACTAAAATAAGCAATAATAAGAAAGACAGCATTTTAGCTAGTTCAGATAAGGACACCTATACAGAGACATTCCTAGCATTGCTTTCAGGCACAAATGTGTTACAACTCAGGTTGATTCATCTCTAACTGATCTTTACACTGGTTCCTGATCCCCTTCTCATGTTGACCTCTGTCACTTTAAGGTTTCTGTATTAATTCCTCTGGACTGGGGACATCAAATGCTTTCATGTTTTGGGTTTTCAATCTAACACAGTACCTCCTGTATATGTTCTCCCCTTGTCATGTGACCCAAGTCCTACAACATTGCTGTATTTGCACTAGATCTAAAGACCACATATGAGGGAGAACATACAATTTTTGGAATTCTGAGTCTGCTTAACCTTGCTCAGGATGATGTTCTCCAGTTCTATCCATTTACTTGCAAATGATAAGATTTCATTTTTCTTCTTGGCTGAGTAAAATCCCATTCTGTATAAATACCACATTTTCTTGATCCATTCATCAGTAGTGGGGCATCTTGGTTGTTTTCATAAAGTGGCTATTGTGAATAGTGCCACAATAAACATGGGTGTGCAGGTGCCTCTGGAGTAACCTGTGTCACAGTCTTTTGGGTATATCCCCAAGAGTGGTATTGCTGGATCAAACGGTAGATCAATGTTTAGCTTTTTAAGGAGCCTCCAAATTTTTTTCCACAGTGGTTGTACTGGTTTACATTCCCACCAACAGTGTAAGAGGGTTCCTTTTTCCCCGCATCCTCACCAATACCTGTTGTTGGTGGTGTTGCTGATGATGGCTATTCTAACAGGGGTGAGGTGGAATCTTGGTGTAGTTTTAATTTGCATTTCCTTCATGCTAGTGATGGTGAGCATTTTTTCATGTGTATTTTGGCCATTTGAATTTCTTCTTTTGAGAAACTTCTGTTTAGTTCACTTGCCCATTTCTTTATTGGTTCATTAGTTTTGGGAGAATTTAGTTTTTAAAGTTCCCTATATATTCTGGTTATCAGTTCTTTGTCTGATGTGTAGTTGGAAAATATTTTCTCCCACTCTGTGGGTGTTCTCTTCAGTTTAGAGACCATTTCTTTTGATGAACAGAAGCTTTTTAGTTTTATGAGGTCCCATTTATCTATGCTATCTCTTAGTTGCTGTGCTGCTGGGGTTCTGTTGAGAAAGTTCTTACCTATACCTACTAACTCCAGCGTATTTCCTACTCTTTCCTGTATCAACTTTAGAGTTTATGGTCTGATATTAAGATCCTTGATCCATTTTGAGTTAATCTTGGTATAGGGTGATATACATGGATCTAGTTTCAGTATTTTGCAGACTGCCAACCAGTTTTCCAGCAGTTTTTGTTGAAGAGGCTGCTATTTCTCCATCGTATATTTTTAGCGCCTTTGTCAAAGACAAGTTGGTTATAGTTGTGTGGCTTCATATTTGGGTCTTCTATTCTGTTCCACTGGTCTTCATGTCTGTTTTTGTGCCAGTACCATGCTGTTTTTATTGTTTTGCTTTGTAATATAGTTTGAAGTCAGGTATTGTGATACCTCCTGCATTGTTCTTTTGACTGAGTATTGCCTTGGCTATTCTGGCCTCTTGTGTTTCCATATAAATTTAACAGTAGATTTTTCAATCTCTTTAATGAATGTCATTGAATTTTGATGGGAATTGCATTAAACATGTATATTACTTTTGGGAGTATAGACATTTTTACTATGTTGATTCTACCAATCCATGAGCATGGGAGATCTCTCCACTTTCTATAGTCTTCCTCAATCTCTTTCTTCAGAAGTTAAGTTTTCCTTGTAGAGGTCTTTCACATCTTTTGTTAGGTTTACACCTAGGTATTTGATTTTTTTTGAGGCTATTGTAAATGGAATTGTTTCATATATTCTTTTTCAGTGTTCTTTATTAGTGTATAGAAATGCTAATGATTTTTCTATGTTGATTTTATATCCTGCTACCTTGCTATAGCTATTGATGATGTCTAGAAGCTTCTGAGTAGAGTTTTTTGGGTCTTTAAGGTATAGGATCATGTCGTCTGCAAATAGGGATATTTTGACAGTTTCTTTACCTATTTGTATTCCTTTTTTCCTTCTTCTTGCCTAATTGCTCTGGCTAGGAATTCCAGTACTATGTTGAATAGGAGTGGAGATAGTGGGCATCCTTGTCTGGTTCCTGATTTTAGAGGGAATGGTTTCAGTTTTTCTCCGTTAAGTATAATGCTGGCTGTAGGTTTGTCATATATAGCTTTTATAATGTTGAGGTACTTTCCTTCTATTCCTAGTTTTCTTAGAGCTTTTATCATGAAATGATGTTGGATCTTATCAAAGGCTTTTTCTGCATCTATTGAGATGATCAAGTGGTTTTTGTCTTTGCTTCTGTTAATGTGGTTTATTACGTTTATTGATTTTCGTATGTTGAACCACCCCTGCATTCCTGGGATGAAGCCTACTTGGTCATGGTGAATGATCTTTTTGATGTGTTGCTGAATTCGGTTTGCCATTATTTTGTTGAGGATTTTTGCATCAATGTTCATTAAGGAGATTGGCCTATAGTTCTCCTTTTTGGAGGTGTCTTTGCCTGGTTTTGGGATAAGTGTAATACTGGCTTCATAAAATGTGTTAGGCAGTTTTCCTTCCCTTTCTATTTCATGGAACAGTTTAAGGAGGGTTGGTATCAGTTCTTCTTTAAAGGTCTGATAGAATTCAGCAGAGAATCCATCAGGTCCTGGACTTTTCTTTTTGGGGAGACTCTTGATTGCTGCTTCAATTTCATTTTGTGTTATAGGTCTATTCAGGTGATTAATTTCCTCTTGGTTCAGTTTTGGATGATCCTATGTGTCTAGAAATCTGTCCATTTTTTTAAGATTTTCAAATTTATTTGAATATAGGTTCTCAAAGTAGTCTCTGATGATTTCCTGGACTTCCATGGTGTTTGTTGTTATCTCCCCTTTTGCATTCCTGATTCTACTAATTTGGGTTTTTTCTCTCCTCATTTTAGTCAGGTTTGCCAGGGGTCTATCGATCTTGTTTATTTTTTCAAAGAACCAACTTTTTGTTTCATTAATTCTTTGTATGGTTTTTTTGGTTTTATTTCGTTGATTTCAGCTCTTTTTTTATTATTTCTCTCCTTCTATTTGTTTTGGGATTTGCTTGTTCTTGTTTTTCTAGGAGTTTGAGATGTATCATTAGGTCATTGATTTGGGATCTTTCAGTCTTTTTAATATATGCACTCATGGCTATAAACTTTCCTCTCAGGACTGCCTTTGCTGTGTCCCATAGGTTCGGTAGGTTGTGTTTTCATTTTATTGACTTCCAGGAACTTTTTAATTTCCTCTTTTATTTCATCAATGACCATTGTTCATTAAGTAATGAGTTATTTAGTTTCCAGCTGTTTGCAAGTTTTTTGTCTTTACTTTTTGTGTTGAGTTCTAGTTTTATTGCATTTTGATCTGATAGTATGTACAGTATAATTTCTATTTTCTTATATTTGCTGAAGCTTGCTTTGTGCCCTAAGATATGATCTATTTTGGAAAAGGTTCCGTGGGCTGCTGAGAAGAATGTATATTGTGTAGAAGTTGGATGAAATGTTCTGTAGACATCAAGTAGGCCCATTTGATCTATTGTATGTTTAAGATCTTGGATTTCTTTATTGATTTTTTTTGTTTGGATGACCTATCTATTAATAATAATGGGGTGTTAAAGTCTCCCACAACCACTGTGTTGGAGTTAATATATGCTTTTAGGTCTTTCAGGGTATGTTTGATGATATTGGGTGCATATAGGTCGATAATTATTATTTCCTTTTGGTCTATTTCCCCTTTTATTAGTATGGAATGTCCTTCTTTATCTCATTTGACCAATGTAGGTTTGAAGTCTACTTTGTCAGAGATAAGTATTGCTACTCCTGCCTGTTTTCGGGGGCCATTGGCTTGGTAAATCTTCTTCTAGCCTTTCATCCTAAGCTATGCTTATTTCTGTCGTGAGATGGTTCCTGTAAGCAAAAATTGTTGGGTCTTCCTTTTTAATCCATTTCTTCAAGCAGTGCCTTTTGATGGGTGAATTAAGTCCATTAACATTAAGCGTTAGTACTGATAGGTATGTGGTGATTCCTGTCATTTAGTTGTCTTAGTTGTTTGAAGGTTTGATTGTGTGTACCTAAGTTGAGGTTACTCTCTACTTTCTTGCTTTTTCTTTTCCTGTAGTTTGGTGCTGCCTGTCCTTTCATGGTTAAGTTGGGTTTCACTTTCTGTGTGCAGAATCCCTTGAAGAATCTTTTGTAGTGGTGG